CTGGGGAAAAACACCACTCTGCCTGCTCCCTGCACATCTGCATGGATGTCAGATTTGAACCTTTACCTGCACATCTGCATGGATGTCAGATTTGAACCTTTACCTGCACATCTGTATGGATGTCAGATTTGAACCTTCACTTCCTCCCTGCACATCTGCATGGATGTCAGATTTGAACCTTTACCTGCTCCCTGCACACCTCTATAGGTGTCAGATTTGAGCCACTACTGCATATTTGGAAATCAGTCCAAACTCAAGTGCATTTCACACCCTCAGCTGGGTTTTCTTGGGAGCTTTACATGTGACAAAAGTGAACAACAGGCACCAAGCCCTGCCAGAGGGTGGACTGTACCTGTTTCTATGGCTGTGGGGTAGAGCTTGCCTTGGCAGAGGGTCTGTCCCTCCATCCTGTGCCACCTGAAAGCTCCTCACTGAGGTGACGCTGGCACCAGAGTGCTGAACTCCCACAGCTGTGCTTTCCAGTGTGTGCTCACTGAGGGTGAAAAACCTCGAGAACAAGGGAGAGTTTCGAGTTGGATTCCAAGATAAAGATAATTTTCCTGCTATTTCTCCTGAATAGCTGTTTGATGTGAGATTTGGGTACATTTCTCAGCCGCTTGCAGTAAAATGTCAGAATCTGAAAGAATACTTTATCAAATGCTGCTTCTAAGTGCTCTTGGCTTGCCAGTACATTAAATTAATGGGAAGTCACTGTCAGGCACACTCTCTCCTTGCTTGAAGAATTATGCTTTACTCTGTTTCACATGTACAGCCATATTTCCTCTCAGGGCAGAGTGTGAATGTGACCAAACACCTGCAGAAAAACTGGCTTCTGATAAAGAAAGGGAGATGCTGTTTTCCTCCTAAACTGTCTGTGTAGGCAATTCTCACACTGCATTCATCCAGCACCGCAGGAATCTTCTCCTGTGAACTGGTTCTTTAACTTTTCCCTGTTAAGAGTTCAACCGTGCAGGTCATGGCAAATCTTCGAGTCCTGGTGATCAGAAAGCTCCAGAACAGTAAGAGCTGGAGTGGGCTCAGAGCAGACATACATTGTGATTGATTGTTTGGATTGGGCTGGTCTCTACATTGTGCCACTTTTCTCTCCTCTGAAATGTGTTCTTTTATTGACTCCCTGGTATTTCAGAGCAGCAGCATCTGCTAAAAGCTTTTCCTATGTGAGCTGTGCATTTCTTATGTTTCCCAGCCATACACTGCAATGAAAGGCATGCTGGGGAGTGGCCTGACTTTGGCCAAGAAGGCTTTGTTTGCTGCTGCTTTGTGACATCTTCCCGAATTCTGAAAAACTGTGGTTGGATGAGGACACGCGAGCAAATATTTCAGTCTGAGTCTGCCTTCACTTGACAATTGTTCTGCTCTGCTCTGCTCTGTGGTGGTTCAGCCAGAGTAGCACCACTTTAAAGTGGGAATACCAGAGCCATGTGGAAAGGACAGTCACAGAAGAGATGTGGCAAAAGAGTTCCTACAATTTACAGGGGCAGAAGAAGGGGGTAGAGGACACTGGTGGTGTGGTTCCCACTGGCCTGCAATTAGGAAATTGTTGCTTAGAAAACACTAAAGACCTTTTTTTGTGTCTTAGCTCTGGAATTCTGCAATGTCACATCTTCTCACCCCTGGTTTGGGTCTTCTTCTTCTTTGGGGCTTTTATTTGGAAAATAAGTTGCTTCGAAGTGGGTCAAGGATTAAACACACCAGAGGCTTCTCTGTGTCCTGGTTCCCTGGCTGTCTCTTGGAAGGAGGCAGTGCCACCCCTCTCCCCTTTGGTCCCAGTGCAGACCTCAGAGCTTCAGGAGTGTTGGAGATGCAAAAACTGGTTGAATCAAACAAACATTTTCCCTCCTGAAGTCGACTTCCAAAGAGTTAGTTTTGCTATAAAGCTAGTCCCTGAGTGGGTATGTGCTTATCCCACCCATGAGGGAGGCTGCTCTGGATCTTTGTGTGGATTCACACGACCTCCTTTCAGTCCCCAGACAATGCTGTCAGTTTTCTTTCATTGGGAAATGATGGATATTTCCTGTAGCCTCACTTCATTAAATCCTGGATGTATTAGTTCTTCAGTGTCACTTGAAGTCAAAGCAAAATATTTTAGGCAATCTTATGATGTTAAAAAAATTACTCTGTTTCTGAGCCATATTTTTACTTGGCTAAATTGAGTGAAAGCACTGCCTGAAGACAGGCCACCAGTGTAGGAGTTCAACTTTTGGGTTCAGTTAGGACTTGCTGGGTGCTGTGCTGAGGTGCAGTAGAGCAGAGCTGGCAGGTTACTTAAACATAGTTTTGCTCTGCTGAGGAGTTTCTGTTCTCTCCAGTAAGGCCCTCTGGGGCTGTGTTGCATGTGTTACTGCTGTTTTACTCTGATATGAAGAGGGATGCATTGGTTTCTCCTGTGGTATGTCAGAGCAGGGCAGAATCTGCTCCCCATGTCACAGTCACCCACCCTGGCAGTGCCACTGCTCTCCTCTAGCTGCTCAGTCCTCAGCTGCTGGACACCAGACTGAGACCCTGCACATGGCTTCCCCACATCTCCACTACTAAAGGTGCTCCAACAAACCCCAAGTTTGTGGCTGTGTCTGCCCCTGAAGTCTCCGCATTCCTGTACGCTCAGCTCTGGGCGTTGGAAATGTGGTTGTGCAAGTGGCAAGAAGGATTTTTAACTCCTGTCTTTAACGGGTCTCATTGTCAGGATCTCTTGCCTGTGTGGGCTGTGTTGGTGGTAACAGTTAAAGGGTGTTTTGGGGAGAGGAAACTTCATGCTGAAGATCTGACAGAGCCGGGGCTGCAGCTTGCACCTCCTCCCAGATCTGAGGAAGGATTTGTGTGCCTGGAAGGTGCTGAAGTATCTCCCATGTGCATCAATCGGTCTTGGGAGAGATTTTAGTCCTACCTACAAACCTTGCCTTGCTAAGCCCACCATGGCTTTAACAGCAAAAGCTGCTGGAGTGATTTTAGGAGACTTCTGTAGTTCCTGTTGTAGTTTTATCACAGTCCTGACCCCATTGGTCTCTCCTGGTCTTCCTCAAACATGTGTGACTCAGTTAGGGTGTGGAGCTGGTAGACATGGGCTCGCTCCCAGCTGGGCCACAAACCCAGTGCAAAGCCCAGATGAAGTGTTACCACTGGCTCTGCTGCTCCCCATCTGCCCCTGCCACAGTGGGGGACAGCAAGAGGCACTCGTGGGCTGTCACCAGACTATTTAAGGGGACTATAACACTGCCTTCAGAGCAGCAGTGCTCACACTGCAGCTCTGCAGAGGAAGAAGAAATCAGAGTCCTCGGGTCTTTCTATGCCTTCATTTTTCCTCCAGATGAAATTCAAGACTGTGCAGGATCATTTTTGGAGGGCTGATTGTTTGCTCACAAAGTAAATAGCATTTTTCTCTCTGGCTACAGTTACACAATGATTTGGTATGGCTGGTCCATCCCTGAGGGTGTCCAGCAGCAAACCCCCTCCCCACACACACTGCAGCATCACACAATAAGACAGTCCCACTTTCCCAGGCTTTGGCTGTGTTGGAGACAGGATACCACAGCACTCAGAGATGGAAATTCTTACCCTGCCACTTTTCCCTAATTGTGCACACATTTTGTCTGTGCAGGCTTCAGCCTTGCCTGTGAATGGGAGCAGCTGAGAGCCAGAGCCAGCCCAAAAGTTTCTTCAACATGTTGCAGTTTTACTGTCACAGACGGGCTGGGCTGTGTTTGCCACGAGGAAGAGAGAGTGGAGGAGGAGGAGGGCATGATGAGGAACCTCTCCCCCAGGGTGGCAGTGACAGAAGGTGACCAAGCACTGCACAGAGCCACCACCTCTGACTGCAGCAGTCGATTCTGCTCCATCCCTTGGTTGCCAGGAAGGGCAAAGCTGGCAGCGAGGCCGTGGATGCTCTGCTGCCTCCCCCAGCTGTTTGCAGCTGTCTGCTTGGCCGGGGCCAGGGCCAGGCTGGTGCTGCAGAGCTGGTTGGCTGTGGGCTGGATGGTGGCCTCGGTGGGACAGTGAGTGCCCTGCTCCTGCTGCCCTTCCCTGCAGGCTTGGGCAGAGCTGTCCTGCCAACAGCCCTGGTGGAGCTCAGAGAGGCTGAGCAGTGAGGCCTGGGCATGCAGTGGGGGTTTGGTTGGTCCCTTCCTCCCATAACCAGTGCCCAAGAAGATGGAGGAGCTCTGCAGAGTGAAAACGTCCTGGCTGTTTGTCCCGGTGCTGCCCCAGGGGCTTGGGACAGAGCTCCAGCTCCGGCCCTACAGCCAGGCTGAGGGCTGGAAACAGCTTGTACTGAAGGGACAGAAATACAGCCTAAAGGGAGGTCCTGGAGCTCCCATCCAGGGTGAGAGGCTCCCTGTGACTGAGCCCCCGAGCCCACGGGCAGGTCCTGCCGCCCGGGGGGAGCAGCACCCGGGGTTACTCTGAGGACCCTCTGGGAAAGGATGTTTTCCCGATGACATAGTGCTGCAGGGACTTTTTTCTTTTCGGGGACTCGTCTGTAATTTATCCCAGGATGGGTTTCTATAAACAGTCTCTATTGTCATATAAATATGACAGCAGACCCTCTCGATGAACACACCGGGGTCCAACCATCCGATGTCTCCCTGACGGCTCTCAGCAAGGTAAGCTTGGGGCCACCTGGATCTCCGTAAGCAGCCGTGGGACAAAAAGAACAGGAGAAGCGCTTCTCGGCGCAGTTTCAAGGCCACCTTTGACCGGCAGAGGGGGGTTAACCCGGGCAGTGCGGGGCTCGCCTCTCTCGCCCCCGGCTGCTCCCGGTGTGCCTGCGGCCGCGGGCTGGGGAAGCGCTGAACACATCCCCTCGAGCTCCTGGAACACATCTCCTCGCTCCGGCGTGTCCGCCGAGCTCCGCGGGCTCCCCGGGGCCGGGGCGCTCCCGTCCCTCCTCCTCCCGCCCGGCCGCGGCTGCGGCCCCGCTGTCAGCTTGGACAAACCCCCCAAAGCCGCAGCTTTCCGGCCCCTCCTCCGGCTCCCGGGGTCCGCGGCCCCTTCCCCGCGGAGCGGAGCGGACGGAGCGGCGGCGCGGGCGGTAAGTGCGGGGGGGGGCAGGAGCGGAGCCCCCCGAGCCCGGCCGGGGGTCCCGGAGCGGCCCCGCTCGGCCCCTCGGGGCAGCGGACACGACCCAAAGCCCTCTCTCTCCCGGCTCCAATCCGCGGGTATTTCCTTACGCTGTTCCTCTGCTTTCTTTCTCCTTTTTAATTTTTTTTTTTTTTTGCACCCCCGTTGTTCTGAAAGTGGCAAATTGTCAAAAGGTAAAAAAAAAAAAAAAAAGAAGAAGAAAAGAAAAAGTTGCTGTAGATGTTTCGGAGCTGTTGCTTTATTGAAAACAACTCCCTGGGTGGAGGAGGCGAGAGCAGCCCGCGGGGCGGTGGGAGTGTTTGCAAAGCAAAATGTCATTCGGAGGTGGGGGGAAAGCTGGAGAAATTGTTTCCATGAACGTGTTCTCCGAGTTGTGCGGGATTGCCCGACTCCAGTGAGCCGAAAGAAAACCAATAGGAAATTTGAAAGGCAGAGGAGAAAGTGTACGGGATAACTAAGAAAAGTGCTCTCTGCCTGCTTTTGCTGCTGGGCTTGGGTTTCTGGAGCTGCTGAATGGACTAGGGGGATGTGCCGGGGAGGTTTGGGGGACCAGGGGATCAGGGGCTGTGTCAGAGAGGTTCGGGGACCAGTGGAGCAGTGGGCTCTGGGGAGGTTTGGGGACCAGGCTTGTAGGGTCAGTGAAGTTCACCCCCCAGTAGCAGAATCGCTGCCGGTGTGTTCGGGGCTGAGCAGGACCCGGCCGGTTCTCTGCCCCCACGCCTCCCCTCACCTTATCTCTTCCTCTTGTCACTCAAAGGCTTGTGCAGGAGCCTGCTGGTCGCCCTGAGCTGAGCTGCCCGCGGGGAGCCAGGCCAGAGGAGGTGGGTTTGGCTGCATGGTCTGTCCCACCTCGCAGAAAGGGCCTTTGATCTCATGTGTGCCACACTACCATTGAATTTTCTCTCTTTCTCGTCTAAAATTGCTCCTCTAAAGCTTTGGTACTGAAAGAGAAGGTGTTGTTATTGCCAAGTTCTGTTAGCACAAGGCTTTGTTTCGTTGCACTCGTAGGTGATGAGTCCAGGGGTGGTGTTTGGGACTGGATCTGTTCCTGTGCTTTTCTAACACACCAGCAGCACCTGATCTCCTTTCCTGCTCCTCGTCATGACACGCCATTGCTTTAGGCATCCTTGGCCTTTTGGTTGCAGAAGGAGGCTTTAGCAACATCTCATAACATGGCTTTACTTATAACTTGGTTAGAAGTCATTTAACAACAAAAACTACAGCTCATGGTATATGGTTAATGGGTGTGAAATTATCTGAGAGACACAAATCACCCTTATTAGTGGAATGGATGAAACCAGTTTTATTATGAAAGATTTTCCCTGAATGGCAGAATGAAGTCTATAGAGAATAAAAAAAGGTCTTTTAGCTGGTTCTTTTCCCAAGTGGAGTCAGCTGGACCTTCAAAATCACTTTGAAGACAGTTACACCAGCATTAATAGGGGTAATGTTGGCCTAAAAATATCATCCAAAAATCACACCCTTAATTGGCATTACTTTGTTGGCAAACCTTTCCCAGTGCTGCCTAATTCCTCAACAGCCATGTTATTTTAATTGCATCCATGTATTCTGTCTCAAAGGCAAGGCTCTGAGCAGGATTTATTGAGCTTAGTGTGGTGACTGGAGCTTTACTTTCTCCACTAAAGACAAGAAACTGATGGGATCTTCTCCAGTACTGTCTCTGGCTGGGATTGAGCCCTGGCATTACACTTTTTGGAAAGATTTTATTTTGCTGGACAGTTCCTCAACAACAGGAAGGACAGTGCTGGGGCATTTCCACACTGCCAGAACCCTTCCAACCCTGTGGGTGTCCCTTTGCAGCAGCAGAGTAGTTACAGTCCATCTCCAGGCTGTGTTTTAACACTCCATGTTAAAAATTATGCTTTTTGTGCCACTTTTTTGTGTGTGTTGGAACCTCTTAAGGGCTGCTGTTGCTCTCACTGCAGTGCCTGGTATCTGCTCTCAGCTCTCAAAGCCTGCATGGAGACTTTGGATATGGAAAGGACCTTGGCTGTCCTTCCCCTTCATCCCTCTGCCCTTAGATTTTGCATCCCATGCAATCCAAGCCAAGCCTGCCAACCATGCCTTTCACAGCTGCCTGAATTCCGGGAGAGGACAAATGTTTACAGTGTTGGTCCTCTCTTTCAGACTGTTCTTTGGAAATGTTTCCATGCCTGAGAGTTTCTTCCCATAGTTTGTGGGTACGAGGTGGGATTGAACTGCTTCTGGCAAAACCAGAAGTGTCCCTTACATTCTCCTGAGATTATTGTGGTTGCTGAAAGACTTGCAGTGGGCACATGCTTTCCTACAGCTGCCTTCTGGCTGCTGAGCAGAAGAAACCAGAGCTGCTGGTTGGGGGCTGCTTGTCTCTTCCATGAGCCTTTGACCTTGGGGCCACCACATCTCAGGTGGCCTCACGCTGCCCTGGGAGCTCCCCTTCCTCCTCCATCCCAGGGCTGGGGTGTTTCCTTTGTAAGTTATGTGCAGATCCCTGGTGGTAGGAAGAACCTTGACGCCTAATTATTGTGCCTCTTATCTCGCCTTCGATGTGCCACCAGCCCATGTGTTTAGAATAAGGCTCTGATCTCGTGATATGGTCTCACACATTCACTTTTGTTTAGCTTTTCCCCCCATTCTCTTGCATGAGAAATTTGGGTTTCCTTCCAGCTCATTGCCATAACATTAACCTTTCTTTCTGCTGGAAGTGACATGTTGCCTTTAAAAACAGTGGCCTGGATTTAATATCCCAAGGAGTCCTTTTGCAATTCCATGTTCATATAGATCAGGAATTAAACAAAAGGAACTTGGAACAGGGCTTTCCAACAAGTGGTTTGTTTTCTCCTGCTTACGTTATTGTGGCCTTTTTGTAAGAAATCAAACTGTTGAAACAAACATATATCTCACTTAGATATGAAAAATGCAGCTCACTTGTGGCCTGGATCCACTCCTGCTCCTGCTGAACGTGATTAGAGCAAGACCAGACCCTTTGAGTTACCGTTTCATCCGCGTGTGTTACAAACCTAAGATGTTATTCATGAAAATTAAGCTGTGTTAATTACATCTCTTGGTCTGCCTTAAGACAGACATACATTCCTGTCTGTCTTGTTTGCTAATGAGCTCTGTGGATGGGATCCAGGATCGGGGGGAAGGTCAAGCACTGTCACAGATCCAGCGACTTCCCGGTGCAGATGTGACCTCCCGGTGGGAAGGGAAGCCGGACTTTGACCGGGAGATGTCACTGACGTTTCTGGCTGGGTGCACCAGAGCCCGTGGCTCTCAGCAGTGTTGGGCTCCTTTTTATGAATGAAGGCAGGCAGTGGCTGCCGAGCCTCCAAAGCGGTGCCAGGAATCCGGGATTGTGGAGCCGCGGGTGGAGGCGGGAGCGTGAGAAGCCCTTGGGCAGCGGCGGCTCCACCGTGGCACGGCTGGGCTGGGCTGAGGGGACCCCGGGGAGGAAAAGCCATCAAGAAGGACGTCCCAACAGTCCCACCATCACACACTCCTAGTTCTTTTTTCCCTTTTTCCTTTTTCTTTGTTTTTTTTTTTTTTTTTTATTTTATCCTTCTGTTAGCTCAGTTCTGGATTCTGCTCCTGACTCTCTTCAGTGAGCACACCTTGGAGAGACAAGGAGCTCATTTTTTCCTGTATCCACAGAAGCTTTTAGTAACTGCTAACCCCTTACACCTGTACATGGGAGTCAGAAAAAGGATCTTAATGCGGTTTTGTCTAAACTGGTGATGGAGGGAGAGAGAGGAAGCAATTCCTGGGGCAGGCATACATGACTTTTTGGAAACAGAAAATACAACCAGCAAAGATTATATCCCCACCAGAGCTGGCAGGAGGGGTCTTATGGGTGTTCTTAATCCACCTCACTGCAAATTCAGCCAGGTTAGCTCAAACCACCTTTGTTTTTGACTTAAGTGAGCTGAGTCTGCACTAGTGCAGTGAATGTTCCCCCTGTCCCTCCTGCCAGACACGCGGTGGGACAACCAGCCAGCTGCTGGTGCTCAGCCAGCTCCTGCTCCAGCCAGGCCAGGAGACACTGCCTGGGTGTCCCCCAGGCTTTGCTCAAGTGAGAGCTGAGCCATTTGTCCAGTATCAACTTAACCAGGCTGGATCAGCTTAAGATGTGCCCCTCAGTTTGTGCTGTCCTAAACCATGTCAGGGTGGTACCTGTCCCCCAGCTCTTGGCTGTTCCTGCTGGGAAGTCTCACAGGTCCCTGGTGCTCCTGGGTGGGGCCAGCTGGAATCCTGCAGGGCATCTCTGGTTCCCACTGAACCCATGGAAGGACAGACCTGTTCTTTTACCTGAGGATTGGTGAACCTCTTAGGACGATACTGGATATGCACATACAGAGGTTTAGAGGATGCCTATGAGATATGAATTTCCATTTAAATTAAAAGGCAGTTTGGTGTCTGAGTTTCTGTGCAATCCCATTTGAAGTGTTTTATAGAAACAATTTATAGGACTGTTGCTTTTTTGGGCTGCGCACTGGGCTTTGGAGGGCAGGTTACTTATAAA